CGGCAGAACCGGTAGCTAATTTTTTATTGCCCAGGCCCAGAATGGACTTCCAGAAGTGGCATCCACGCAGAGAACCGGTTGTTCACATATTTGAATCCCACCACCGCCTATACCATTTCAGACAAATGGTTGTCCAATCTCGTCTTAAAAACTTCCTGGCACTAAGGTGGCCTTGGATTTCCTGCCTAAAGCAGGACTAGAACTCACCATCTCCTGGTGACTGGCCCAAAGTCACCCAGCTGGATTTCGTACCTAAGGAGGGAGTAGAACTCACCGTCTCCTGGTGATTGGCCCAAAGTCACCCAGCTGGCTTTCGTGCCTAAGGCAGGACTAGAACTCACCATCTCCTGGTGACTGGCCCAAAATCAGCCACTCAGCTTTCATGCCTAAGGCAGGACTAGAACTCACCGTCTCCTGGTGTTTGGCCCAAAGTCACGCAGTCCGCTTCTATACCAAAGGTGGGACTAGAATTCATTGTTTCCTAGTGATTGGCCCAAAATCACCCAGCTGGCTTTCACGCCTAAGACAGGACTAGAACTCCCGTCTACCGGTGACTGGCCCAAATTCACTCAGCCAGCATTCCTAGCTAAAGCGGGACTAGAACTCACCGTCTCCTACTTCCGAGCCAGGTATATCTTAACCACTAGACCCAGGGTTAGGCAACTTTGGCTCTTTTGTGACTCGTGGACTTCAACTCCCAGAATTCCTGAGCCAGCAAGGCTCAGCTTGGAAACCTCTCCCTTTCCCCTCAGCATGGCTGGCTCAGGAATTCTGGGAGTTGAAGTCCACGAGTCATAAAGCGGCCTAGGCCTAGGCCAGAGGTAGGCAACTTTGGCTTTTTTATGACTGGTGGACTTCAACTCCCAGAATTCCTGAGCCAGCATGGAGGAACTATGGCCCCTTCATGACTCGTAGACTTCAACTCCCAGAATTCCTCAGCCAGCATGGGGAAACTATGGTCCCTTCATGACTTGCGGACTTCAACTCCCAGAATTCCTGAGCCAGCAAGGCTCAGCTTGAAAACCTCTCCCTTTCCCCTCAACATGGCTGGCTCAGGAATTCTGGGAGCTGAAGTCCACGAGTCATGAAGGGGCCATAGTTCCCCCATGCTGGCTCAGGAATTCTGGGAGTTGAAGTCCACGAGTCAGAAAAGACCCAAGGTTGCCAACCCCTGCACTAGACCAAACGGTCTCTCTGTTATTTATTTACCGTACTTATTATTTACGTTGTGGAAATTTTAGCATTTTCTCTCTGGCCGAAACCTGACGAGCGCCCTGTGTTAGTGATCCCAGGGTTTGCATGTCTGTACGTGTGTGTTGTTGTTGTTGTTAACGTACAACAACGGCTGAATCCCATTTCGATCCGTCCCTTGCCTTTTGCTTCGAGCTTCCCAACGGCAGCCCAGACTTTTCATTGTCTGCCTTTCCGAAGCGACGTCCTGCCGAGTTGCTCAAGAATTGGCACAGCATCTAATGAGGCAACGCCGGGGGGGGGGGCTGCCTCAAATGCCAGCCGATGGCAAAGCCGCCGCTTAATCAAGCCGTTGCTCTTTAATAGCCGGTTAATTTCACTCTTGCACTTTTCTCCTGGCCTCAGAAGGAAGGATCTGTTTGCTAAGAATGCCAGCCCCTCTCTTTCTTTTTCTCTCTCTCTTTTTCTCTCTCTCTGTCGCGGTCCTTTGTCCGTAAAAGGTCAGCTCTCTCCCCTCCCTCCTCGGGCTCCCGGCAGGTGGGCTTCACGGGACCCCGGTTTCATTAACACCCTACAGACTCAATTAAACCCCCCCTCCCTCCCTCTTCTCCCAGGCAGACAATGCACCTCAGCTTTTTCTCAAGTTTCTCACCGAAAAGTGGACGCGGTATTCCAAGCGTGGTCTTCCCAAGGCATTACCGCTTTATAAGGCCTGGGTAAGGCCACCCGTGGACTAGTGCATCCAGTTTTGGGCCCCCGCTGTGTGAAAATGAGGTTTGAGGCTCCAGAAAAGAGGGCGGAGAAGAGCAAAGGAGAGGATTGGGGGGGCTGGAGGCTAAAACATAGGAAGAACAGATGAAGAATGGCCGTGGAGATTCTCCGTCATCCAGGTCATGGCGGCAATGGGACTTTCTTGTTTTTCCTTGAAGACGTCCCGTTTCTCATCCCAGAAGCTTACTCAGTTCGGTTACAGGAATTAGGGATGTCTAGTCTGCTGAAAACAAGAACTAGGGGGGACATGATAGCAGTGTTCCAATATCCCAGGGGCTGCCCCAAAGAAGAGGGAGTCAATCTATTCTGCAAAGCGCCTGAAGGCAGGACAAGAAGCAACGAATGGAAACTCATCAAGGAGCGAACCAACCTGGAACTAAGGAGGAATTTCCCGACAGTTAGAACAATTAACCAGTGGAACTCCTTGCCTCCAGAAGCAGTGAATGCTCCAACACTGGAAGTTTTTAAGAAGAAACTGGACAGCCACTTGTCTGAAATGGTATAGGGTTTCCTGCCTGAGCAGGGGGTTGGACTAGAAGACCTCCAAGGTCCCTTCTAACTCTGTTATTCTGTTAAGGACTAAGGGGGACATGATAGCAGCGTTCCAGTATCTGAGGGGCTGCCCCAAAGAAGAGGGAGTCAATCTATTCTCCAAAGCGCCTGAATGCAGGACAAGAAGCAACGGATGGAAACTCACCAAGGAGAGAAGCAACCTGGAACTAAGGAGAAACTTCCTGACAGTGAGAACAATTAACCAGTGGAACAACCTGCCTCCGGAAGCAGTGAATGCTCCAACACTGGAAGTTTTTAAGAAAGAAACTGGACAGCCATTTGTCTGAAATGGTGTAGGGTTTCCTGCTTGAGTAGGGGGTTGGACTAGATGACCTCTCAGGGTGCCTCCCAATTCTCTTATTCACAGCTTCCATATCATTGGAGTCCTTCCCTCTTTAGAGCAGCATTCCCAACCTCGTGCCACCCCCTTTCCTACATTGCTTTCTCCCTCCCTCAAACCCTCCACCTGGTGTCTACCATCCCTGATTGCAGCTGAACATCCTGGGATCCCATTGTTGAGCATGTTCCCCAGCTGGGCAAGGAGTGTGGAATGCAGCAAAGCATCATTTTACACACCAGGCTGCCAATGTACACACTTCTCCTTTTGACACGACAGTGGGGAAGAGTGCATCACCGCTCTTTATGCAGATGTGCGGTCTGGAATTGTCCAGGCTGATCCCTGCTCACCGGGCGGGTGGGGGGAAGGATTTTATTCAGCATGGAAAAAGATTTTTTTGCCTGGGGCTGTTTTATCTGGGCTTCCTCCCTCCTTCCCTCCCCCCCTTCCCCCCCCAAAAAAAATTCCCATGTGTCTTCTCATTTTCCCTGTTTCATTGTTGGGACGAATTCCCTGCAGCCATTGGGTGAATTCTCTCTGGTCTAGTGAAAAGAAGGACCTGTTGTAAAGCAGTTGAGTAAGGACTCATGTAGGCTGGGACAGAACAGGACCAGGGGTGACATTCCAGTATTGGAGGGGCTGCCCCAAAGAAGAGGGGGTTGTTCCACCTCTTCTCCAAAGCCCCTGAAGGCAGGAGAAGAAGCAACGGATGGAAACTAACCAAGGAGAGAAGCAACCTGGAACTAAGGAGGAATTTCCTGGCAGTGAGAACAGTTAATCTGTGGAACAACCTGCCACCGGAAGTTGTGGGTGCTCCATCACTGGAGGTTTTAAAGAAGAGACTGGACAGCCATTTGTCTGAAATGGGTATAGGGTTTCCTGCCTGAGCAGGATTAATTGTTCTAACTGTCAGGAAATTTCTCCTTGGTTCTAGGTTGTTTCTCTCCTTGATTAGTTTCCATCTGTTGCTTCTTGTTCTGCCTTCAGGCGCCTTGGAAAATAGGTTGATCCCCCTCTTCTCTGTGGCAGACCCTCAAATATATTGGGAAACTGCTATCATGTCTGCCCTAGTCCTTATTGTTAGACCAGATATACCCAGTTAGAACACAGGGAATAGAATAATGGGTTGGGAGGGACCTTGGAGGTCTTCTAGTCCAACCCCCGCTCAAGCAGGAGACCCTATACTATTTCAGACAAATGGCTGTCCAGACTCTTCTTAAAAGCCTGCAGTGATGGAGCCCCCACAACTTCTGGAGGGAAGCTGTTCCACCAATTAATTGTTCTAACTGTCAGGAAATTCCTCCTTAATTCCAGGTTGCTTCTCTCCTTGTTGAGTTTCCATCCGTTGCTTCTTGTCCTGCCTTCAGGCGCTTTGGAGAAGAGCTTGACTCCCTCTTCTCTGGGGCAGCCCCTGAGATACTGAAAGACTGCTATCATGTCCCCCCCTCGTCCTTCTTTTTCTCTAGCCTATCCATCTCCAATTCACTGGGTCTTCCCCCCCCCATAAAACTAGACAGTTTCTAACAATCAGAAAATGAAGGAAGCCTGTGATATACCCAGTTCCTGCAACCGTTCCTCATATGTTTTTATCTCTACTAAGCCTTTACTAGCCTTCTTTGCTAGATCTTCAGGGGTGAATCTTGCTTTCCATCTGCAGTTGTAAGGCAGGGAGAGCCCGGTTCATTCATCTAGGGCAGGGTGGATGTGTGGGTGGTGAGATTGCAGCGTGAGTTTGTGTCTCTCTCTGTGTGTATTTGTCTCTCTCTCTGTGTGTGTGTATGTGTGTGTGTCTCTCTCTCTATGTGTGTGTATGTTTGTGTGTGTGTGTCTGTAGGGGGAACCGGTCCTGACCTGTGCCATTTGAGAAGAACCACAAACACTTTCTCTTAACAAAAAAGAGTGGAAAAAAATAGCGTTTTCCCCTACAGGCCATGTGATTCCTTCTTGAGGTTTGGAAAGGGGGTTGATATTCCAGCCTTTGATGGTTGCGTGTCATTTTTGGGGGGAGGCTGGTTGCTCCCATCAGCTTTTCCCAGTTGCTGCTGCTTCTGCTGCTGTTGCCCTGGAGAATATTGCTTAAATGTGGTGTTTTTTTTTCCTCCCCCCCCCCCTCTCTTTTTTCCTTCCTTCCTTTCTCTTCCTCCTGCAGATGAAACTCTCATTTACTTTGGACAAGGAGACCGGGATGCCCCAAGGCTGCTACAGCTATCAGTACCGGGACAGCAACAAGTAAGAGAGGGGTTAACAGAGGGATAGCATCAAGATCACGTGACGTGTTAATACCACTTTACAAGGCCTTGGTCAGGCCACACTTGGAATACGGCATCCAGTTTTGGTCACTATGATGTAAAAAAGATGTTGAGACTCTAGAAAGAGTGCAGAGAAGAGCAACAAGGATGATTAGGGGACCGGGGGCTAAAACATATAAGGAACGGTTGCTGGAATTGGGCATGTCTAGTTTAACGAAGAGAAGGACGAGGGGGGACATGATAGCAGTCTTCCAGTATCTCAGGGGCTGCCCCAAAGAAGAGGGAGTCAAGCTATTTTCCAAAGCCCCTGAAGGCAGGACAAGAAGCAATGGATGGAAGCTGATCAAGGAGAGAAGCAACCTAGAACTAAGGAGAAACTTCCTGACGGTGAGAACAATTAACCAGTGGAACCACCTGCCTCCAGAAGCGGTGAAGGCTCCAACACTGGAAGTTTTTAAGAAGAGACTGGACAGCCATTTGTCTGAAATGGTATAGGGTTTCCTGCCTGAGCAGGGGGTTGGACTAGATGACCTCCTAGGTCCCTTCCAACTCTGTTAAAGGGCTGCATATTGTTCCTTTGCAAGTAACGCACTGTGCACCCCCTTCTTCCCACACCCTTGTGTGGAAGGAAATGGGTGTGATTGGAAGTCTCCGACCCCAAAGGCAAGTGGCACCTTTGCGTTTGTAACAAAAGTTAAGATCCCCTGAACAGGATGGTTTTCTTGCAGATGTTTCATTACCAGTGCACTGATAAAGTTACCTAACTGGGTCATGAAATGTCTGCAAAGAGACCCACCGAAGCTCAGAGAGCACCAAGGACTCCACACTTCAGCACAGGAAGTCCTCAACTTATGACTACAGGTAGTCTTCAGTTTGAGCCCAAAATTTCTGTTGCTCACCACCACCACTTCCTCCTCCTCCCAAACCTCCCTCCCTCCTAGCACTGATGAAGTTACCTAACTGGGTAATGAAATGTC